TCATATCCCCGAAGGAAATGTGTGCAGCATTCCACCTGCTCCTCCAATTTCCTCGCAGAGTATGTCGAGATACAGATAAAGGAGCCATGTAATCGCATGCACAGACATGCACCCTGCATCACTGTGGTGCTATGGGAAGGTATGCAAGGTCCAATGCAAACGTACCCTCAGGAACATTCCCCACGACCCATATTCCACCTAACCTTGAAAAATATCTCCGCATTCCTGCTTTGACTCAGCTTTCCTGGGGTTTAGTTGAGTGTCTGCTGCATGTGGTGAGATGAGAAAAAACAAACAACTTATTACAAATACTTTCAATTGTTTTAGAATCTCACTTTGAGACTCATTCAGTAGCCGCTCAGCGTTAGTGCTGTAAATCAACATGACAGCAGCGGCACTGATGGGCCTGTTCCTTCATGTAATGTGCTTCAGAAACACAAAAACGTCTTATCTTTTAGGAAACGGTTGCACAAAAGTGTAGCCAAGTGAAGTCTCCTCCTAGCAGCACCATTTAAGCCAGTGTTAGAAAAGACTTGAAATTCTTATTAAGGACCCCTTAATTGATTCTGTCATTTTTCTTGATGAAAAATCATATAGGGCCATAAAATAAGTAAATACAAACACATATGTACGTTTCAATGCAATCAGCGAATATTGTAATTTGAAAGTAAGTGACAGCTTTGTAAGTGTAAGCTGTCAGTATGGGTGTGCACAGTTCTTTTAACCACAGGCTGAACCAGCCTCTGAATCAGCCAGTGGTCTTTGACCCTTATTCATGCTCGCTGTCACTTCAGCTCTAAAGCCTGACAACAAAGAGCAGCTTTTGTTCCCTGGCTTACTCTTCTTCCACGCACATTCTTTGCTGCTTCACTCTGCTGCTTGTAGACGAGTGGGGTGAATTTAGATTGAAAACTGCCACAGGAAACAAACTCAGGCTACTTTAAAGGCACATTCATAATAAATATGTTAATATGTCTATAATTTAAAATGCTCCAGTTTGTTCCAAGACTGAGGGTAAAAGAAATGGTGAAACTGGATGGGTCGTTTTCACATATTTAACTCAGATAAACAGTCAGCAGAAAATGTCAGCATTTTCTGTCAGCAGTGAAAGAAAATGTTACCCTGAGGTACTTTAAATCTTTGAGAATGACAGGAAATGGTATTTTCAAGGTACTTTTGCTGAAACCAGGTCACGTATGTCAAAGGGTTTAATAGGAGGTGCTTATCATTTGTAGAAAACATTCTCGTTAACTCATGAAAGATTAAACTAAGATTAGACTAAAAATGTAAATGTTGCCCCTTTTCACAAGTGAATTGTATAATGTGATACCTAAGTCTTGTGAGATGTGTATATGAAATAAACATTTACTTTTGAAGTATGTTAATTTGAGCATAGCATGCCCTCAGTGGCAACGCTGAAATGCTGATCCTAGCAGTTTCGTCTACTGTTGTCAGAGCTTGATCTTTTCGTGTTTGGTTGAAAATCAACCCAACTGACAAGTAAATGATAATTCACTAGAAGATAAGTCTGTCACACGCATTTACATGAAGATATTTGCTCAGTTATAGCTATATCTAGCAAATGTGTGTGCTGCATAGATGCCAGAAGTCGTGGCGTGGGCTATGTGTCCCAAAATAACACAACACACTTAACATCTAGCCCACATTGCACAGATCTTTGTCTGAGGCGATGCAATGCGTTTCAGTTCATCTGCTAGAGGTGTGAATTACCAAAGACCCAAAGGTGCAATATTATCATAATACCCAACTCAATGATGCAATTTTATTGTGATTCTGATACTTTTGCTAAATATTGCAATAAGTTATTGTGATATATTGTGTTATATAGGGATGGGTATCGTTTAGGTTTTATCCGATACCAGTACCAAACCGGTACTTTTGAAACGGTGCCGGTGCTTAAACGGTGCTTGAACCGGTGCTTAAAGATGTGCTCGATGTGAGGTCTGGCAGCAA